CTTCAATCTTTCTTCATAGGACTTGCCCTTCAAGCCTGGAATTATCCTTGTTGCACGTCTTTGAACATTCTCTATTAAATTTCTGTCCTTTTCAAATCTCGGTGACCACACAACGTTTCCAAACTCTAGACTCGGGCGCACGACAGCAACAAACAACTGCTTCATCGCTTCTGCATCTAGGAACTCGTATGAGCGTCTGATTAGTCCAAGAAGTTTGTTGGATGTGTTAGCTTGCGTTTCAACATGCTTAGAAAATTTCAACTCCTTGTCGACATAAACTCCGAAATCTTTTTCCACACTAGACTTTTCAATCATTACTCTCTTGTTGCAATCATGTCTTCTCATACTGTAATCTTGCTGTTCATTGTTCTTCCCGAGGTGAAGTACTTTACACTTGTCAGCATTAAACCGCATCTGCCTTGTATCAGCCCAGTTAACTTAACTGTCAAGATCATCTTGCAATTGCGCTTTATTTGACGCTTCCTTCACTGTATTATAAACTTTTGTGTCGTCGGCATACATGGAGCACACGCTGAACACTGCTTCTGGCAGATCATTTATAATAGGAACGAACAAAATAGGCCCAAGAACACTTCCTTGTGGCACGCCACTGCGCACTGATGCCAAGTCTGGCACGGTTCCGTTAATACTGACACGTTGTCGTCTACCTACTAGAAAATCTTTGACCCATTGGAATACGTTTCCCTCAACTCCCAAAGATTTCACTTTACGCAACAGCCGCTCATGCGGAACACTGTCAAATGCTTTGACAAAATCGAGGTATGATGCATCCACTGGCTCCCTTTCGTCCAGCATGCGAGTCCTTTCGTTCAACGTAGATAATAATTAGTGGTGATGGATCTACCGGCAATAAAACCATGTTGACAATCTGATAAGAGATGGTGAGCAGTCAAGTGATCGATAATCCTATCCCTCACAACAGATTCCATCAGCTTACAAACAACACTAGTCAGACTGACAGGGCGATAGTTGCCACCTTTTTGCTTTTGTCACCTTTTTTGAACAATGGTGTTACTTGAGCTTCTTTCCAGTCGGACGGCAAAGTTCCTTCGTTCAAGGTTTTTTGAAGGAAAACTGTCAATGGGCCGGCCAGAACGGTTGCTAATTCTTTGAGCAATCTGGGATGGAAGCCGTCTGGTAAACATGACTAGTTGGGATTTAGAGCTACGAGGCGCTTGAGAACCTCTTCTTCTTGTAGTTCAAAACCTGTTAACTTCGAGCCGACTGGGCGCTCCTCAATATCTAGAATACTGTTCAAGTCCTCATCTGTGAACACACTGCTGAAAAACTGATTAAGAGCGTTAGCCTTGCCCTCATCAGAGGAAATCTTTCGTTTGTCTACTTTTAAATCAGATATACTGTCCTTTGACTTACACTTCGAACTAGCGTACAAAAAGAAGGCTTTCGGATTCTTTTTTGCATTTTTAGCAATATTTTTTCGAAGTTTTTCACTGCGGTGCGACAAACTTTTTTAGCTTGATTTCGAGCTCTGGCATACAGGTTATAATCAGAGTCGCTGCGAGTTCGTAAATAACGCTTGTAGGCTTCTTTCTTGGTCTTTATCTGAGTCTTAACTGCACTGTTCATCCACTGGGACTTTTTGACTCCTCCAAGCATAATCTTAGGTACACAGGCA